TCATAATTAATTAAAAGTATAAGAGACAGAATGTTGTGGATAGACATGACTACCAATGCCACACAGTATGGACTAGAAGAAGAAGAATGTTCTCCTACCTTTATACTTAGCTGAGATTGTGCCATAGAAGATCATCTGTATCATAATAAATTGAAAGTATTCGAGACAGAAGATTGTGAATAGACATGACTACCAACGCAACACAGTATGGACAATAAGAAGAAGAATGTTCTCCTTCCTTTCTACTTCCATCTATGAGGGCAGTCAGAACACGTTAATTTGTTTATCCACCGCCTTTCTAGATAGAGAAGGCCCTGGTTTATCATACGTTTTTTTTAAGGATATAGCACTTGAACGACTGCATATTTGATTGATTACATTTTCAGTCCACGGCTGTGTTGTCCAAGCTGTGTGCTTATGTAGCGTCCTGCCCACTGTGTTGTGACTGCTGGTCGCGGGGCAAGAATAAGACAAAGCCACAGCGTGTTAACATCCAGCACACTTGTCTGGACCAACAGCATGCACGGTTGGACTCGACTAGCAGCAATGCAGACAGCATCAGGAGCTATAGGTGAGCCAGTCTTTTTTTTTTAAATACTCTCCCCACCGCCACAACCCCCAGGATTTCACTCTCTAAGATTGACATCAAAGGATGAGAAAGGGGGGGGGGAATGTACAAATATTGCATGAATGAAGAACTTTCATCATTGCAGTCGGAATATTCCCCTACGTGCTCTGTCGAACCGCAGATCCATGAAATTAAGTTTAACCCAGTGCTTCCTAAACTTGTTTTAGTCGCGGCGACTTTTTTCAATTAAAATTTTTTCACGGCGCTCTAACCTAAATAAAAGTATGACTAAGCGTATATAAGAGATCAAAACAAATAAAACTCGTGTATCTTCGAATATTTCAAGGCGCCCTTGTGAAGAGGTTGCGGCTCATCGGGGCGCCACGGTGCACAGTTTGGGAATCACTGGCTTAACCTATAAAACAGCTATATTGGCTGGGACACAAAAACTGTTGCCAGGTAACATGTAGGTCGTAGGGGTAGGCATGATTATAATTCTTCTTCTTATATTTCATAAAGTGTGCCGTTGGTCGTTGTGCTTTACTATAACCTCGTATTTCCAGTGTTGCCCCAAATGTCCGACTTTATGTGCGTCCTCTCCACAAATAAAGTTAGCTACACTGGATATGTGCATTCGCCGATGTCTTTTGGGTACGTAACGTGGCGAAGTCCTAATTTCTCGATACTGCTCTTGTAGCTTCATCCAAAAGACAAGAGAACTGCAGTTGTTCTAAACTCCATCGACGAATTCGAACATTGGTACTTGTAGGGATATGAAACGCTCACAGGTATGAGTTGAGTTGAGTCAAGAATCGACATTACAGCACTTGGATCATTCCTACGCATGCTCCGTCCTCATCTTCAGCAGCCAGCGTAGAGTTCCAATACTGATGGTACTAGTCACAATCTGGTTATATGTCCGTCGAGCCGGCCAGACCCTCTGGTTACACGCAGGTGCCTCATTCTCTCCAGGCCATAATAATCTTCTTTCGCTACTGATTCATTTGCTTGATCCCAAAGGGCCTTGACCACATCTGCCTTGCTATATATCAATTCACCGCCCAGTGGTGCAGATCCAGACAATATGTCTGACTGTTCATTACCCAATTACGTCGGCATAGTCTGAAGAAAAAATTCAAAGTATCCTTTCTACCCGTGACCTTTCCAGTGAAACTTGCCACTCTGCTCGAAGCATCCTTGTCTTCACCTTTCTCAGCAGGCTTTCAGAGTCTGTTACAATTACAGCATGTGTTTGCATCTTGATTTCTAGCCAACGGAGAGCTGCAGTTACCACGTCCACCTCCATTCTCGTGCTAGATGTTGTGGTGTTCACATATATATAAAGTCGTAGACTTAGTAGAGATTTCAACTGCACTGCAATCAGGTCACCCCATATTTGCTCAGTACCTGTGCCAGGCAGTGAAAATCCAATTAAATGTCATCCAATGGGATTTAACTATATAGCATTTGGTTTCATGACTTCCTTATTTTTTCCTTCAAAAATTTATGTTTGCAGGAAAGCACACCAAGTATTGGGAACTAGACCCTTATCTTACAGTATAAGATAATTCCGATCAGCACAAAGAAAGGTCTCATGTAAAGTAGATTAATACTCATCCTATGCTGCAAGTGCCAGACAAGGTCAACTACAATAAACCAGAGAAGATACTTAGTACCCATGGAAATGAGATGTCCGTTATACTCACCATAGCACCATACACCCCACAGCCATTTCATTCCACGCACCAGCAGATATGGCAAACTGACTGACTGACTTACTTTCTACCCCACCAGGACATCACACAAGCGATAAACACCCAATGACACAATGTGCCCCCATGTGGGTGAGGATCACCGTAGAGAGGTCCCAGAAACCGCATTCAGCCTTTAGGCCATATTTATGACCAGGCTATATTGCGGTCCCTGGCAAGAGCCAGAGTAGGGCTTCAAATAACGAAAAATTCCAAACTAAAAAGGACGGGAAGTCTTTCGGCCTTCTTTATTTTATAGCTGCAAACTATACAATACCTGTTCAAATAGGCCACAGCATTGCACATAGTATTTTCTTATTTACGGTTACGGTATACACCCCCCGAGTATTTTCTCAACTCCACTTTACCTCCCTCGATTATTTTACTATGTAAGATAAAGCTCCTTAAGGAAAAATAATTCTAATTATTTCATCATGTACTATTTCCACTGTACCATGACAAGCATTTCGCAAAAGGCTACTAATAAAGGGTGTTTTTTTCGGATTCAGTGTGCATCTTCCTTACAAATGAGGACGAACAGTATGCATACAAATGAGCCAGATCTGTAGGACAGATGTGCACGCCAAACTGACATTCTGAACAAGATCAGTCTGAAGTGTACAATCAACCAGAACTTTACCACAGAGTTGACAGCTGGTGAACGCTAAGAAGAAGAAACAAATCTCTAATTAGTCACATTTTACGACATGCTTGGTAAAGAAACGTGGATCTATCCCCTCAAAACCCGCATGGGGATGGGACCACTAACTTGGAAGGCAAGCACAACAACCATCAAACCCCCATAGCTGTTTATTTGATTTAGTTTTTTAAAAAAAAAGATTTCGGTGCAATCTTCTGCCCTTCTTGCTTCTCGCTTTCATGCTTTCATGCAATTCAGTAACATATATTAGGTCGGATTCAACCTTTCCACCGGAAAATTTGACATGTAAAAGGGAACGAAACAATAAAAACCAAAAATAGTTTCCCCTTTCACACACAAATCTTTCACAACACGTTGAAAGATGCTGCTGGTGGCTAGATAAATGTCAAAATATCCGGTCTGTGCTTGGGAAAACTGAGAACAACTCTTGGACATTTGCATTCTGAGCGCAAATGTCTGTTGTATCAAATTCACAAGTCGAGAAATGTCAATTGATAGAGAGAGATGACTAGTACAGACATTATTACATAAACGATCCATTACGCTTATAAACGATGTTACAAAGTACAACTGTCGACTAACTGTCTGTCTATATAAATACCTACATACACATATAAAACATAATAATAAATCTACCAGCTTGTATAATGTATGTACTTACCTTTCAGTAAAGTCCATGATGTTTCTTTAGTGCTCATTGATAAAGGCTTCGGTTGAAACGTTCGTTCGTTTCTGAGCGTGTTATTTTCCTTTCCATCTCTTTGAGTTTCCTAGTAATAGTTAAGTGGATTAAATGCTACCTACTGAAGACAATTATACCTACATTACACGTACTTACACATAATAATACATACAAACCAGTATATATATATATATATATATATATATATATATATATATATATATACACCCACCTACCTATCACATACTTACACACAATAATACAAACATTACACATACCTGACTAGAATGCCCTGGTACCAAGTGCCACAGAGGAGAGCCACGCTGAAAAAATATAATGAACAGAGAGCAACGGGAAGACCACGCAAGAGATGGAGCGACACCATCAGGAGCAGCCTAACATAAATAAATACCAACTTGTACAATGCATTAGAAAAGGGCACAAACGATCCTTACACCCCCCTCCCTCCCCCTCCCCGCTGAGGTAAATATTGGAAGAGAGAGAGAGAGTGAGAGAGAGAGAGAGAGAGAGACACACACACACACATACCAACGAATATATCTGCCTACCCACTTACTTACACAGTTATACTTACATTACACCTACTAACCAGTATCTTTGCCCGCCTGCCTACCTGTTACCTTTGAAAATACCTTTTAAAGTGCAGATGTGATATCTGCTCCACCACAGAGAAAAAATCGGGAAAGTTGGGGGAGGGGGGGGGGGGTGGATTCTAAGTATGGCTGTCATTTGTTGATTCTCTGTATGCATGCGAATAGTCCCTGTATCCCTGATTATTTTGGATTCCCTGTATGGCTGTGATTATTGCCTGCATGGCTGTGATTGTGGCCGTATTTCTGTGATTATTCCCTGTATCACTGATTTTTTTCTTTTGATTCCTTATATGGCTGTGATTATTCCTTGTATGGTTGTAATTACCTTGATTTCTTGTATGTGATATATTTTTGTCCTTTCTTATATGGCTGTTGTTATTTATTGTGTCCTTGAAGGGCTGTTGTTATTGATTGTGTCCCTGAATGGCTGTTGTTATTGATTGTGTCCTTGAATGGCTGTGACTGTCATTGATTCTTTACATGGTTGTTATTATTTCTTGATTTCTTGAAAAGCTATTATCAGTTCAGTGATTCCTTCTGTGGTTGTGATTATTCATTGATTAATTACGTAGCTAGGATTATTCACTGATTTATTGTAAAAGTGTATTTGCTGAATGGACTCTCCAGGGAACGGATGGACTCCGACAACTCACGCACGGACTCTGTCTCATCAGCCAGCGGGATTAGCGTCGATAGCAAGCGTCACGTGACACCCATCATTGACATGAAGCCTATCGAGTTTTGGACAGCAAACAGGTGAGTTGTGGTTCTTCGACTGTTGGCAAACTCCGTTATATTGTGATAGACTCATTAATGTTCCCTTCACATCTGATAAACCACTCGCGTGGCAAACGAAAGAAGAAGAAGAAGAAGAATGCGAAGAAGAAGAAGAAGAAGAAGAAGAAGAAGAAGAAGAAGAAGAAGAAGAAGAAGAATGCGAAGAGACGAAGAAGACGAAGAAGAAAAAGAAGAAGAAGATGAAGAAGACGAAGAAGAAAAAGAAGAAGAAGAAAAAGAAGAAGAAGAAGAAGAAGAAGAAGAAGAAGAAGAAGAAGAAGAAGAAGAAGAAGAAGAAGAAGAAGAAGAAGAAGAAGAAGAAGAAGAAGAAGAAGAAGAAGAAGAAGAGGCAGAAGAAGAAGAATTAGAAAAAGAGGAAGAAGAAGAAGAAGGAGAAGAAGAAGAAGAAGAGGAAGAAGGAGAAGAAGAAGAAGAAGAAGAAGAAGAAGAAGAAGAAGAAGAAGAAGAAGAAGAAGAAGAAGAAGAAGAAGAAGAAGAAGAAGAAGAAGAAGAAAAACAAAAGAAGAAAAACAAAAGAAGAAAAACAAAAGAAGAAGAAGAAGAAGAAGAAGAAGAAGAAGAAGAAGAAGAAGAAGAAGAAGAAGAAGAAGAAGAAGAAGAAGAAGAAGAAGAAGAAGAAGAAGAAGAAGAAGAAGAAGAAGAAGAAGAAGAAGAAGAATGCGAAGAGACGAAGAAGACGAAGAAGAAAAAGAAGAAGAAGATGAAGAAGACGAAGAAGAAAAAGAAGAAGAAGAAAAAGAAGAAGAAGAAGAAGAAGAAGAAGAAGAAGAAGAAGAAGAAGAAGAAGAAGAAGAAGAAGAAGAAGAAGAAGAAGAAGAAGAAGAAGAAGAAGAAGAGGCAGAAGAAGAAGAATTAGAAAAAGAGGAAGAAGAAGAAGAAGGAGAAGAAGAAGAAGAAGAGGAAGAAGGAGAAGAAGAAGAAGAAGAAGAAGAAGAAGAAGAAGAAGAAGAAGAAGAAGAAGAAGAAGAAGAAGAAGAAGAAGAAGAAGAAGAAGAAGAAGAAGAAGAAAAACAAAAGAAGAAAAACAAAAGAAGAAAAACAAAAGAAGAAGAAGAAGAAGAAGAAGAAGAAGAAGAAGAAGAAGAAGAAGAAGAAGAAGAAGAAGAAGAAGAAGAAGAAGAAGAAGAAGAAGAAGAAGAAGAAGAAGAAGAAGAAGAAGAAGAAGAAGAAGAAGAAGAAGAAAAACAAAAGAAGAAAAACAAAAGAAGAAGAAGAAGAAGAAGAAGAAGAAGAAGAAGAAGAAGAAGAAGAAGAAGAAGAAGAAGAAGAAGAGGTAGCAGCAGCAGTAGCAGCAGCATTCTCATGAATGTCCCCCATGTCATCTCCTTCCATGGCATCATACAAAACAATCTAGCATATTTTGTCTTGGTTTTCGTCTGCCTTTTCCTTCTCCCACTTTCCCATTGTCACAATATGCTCCAGTTTGTCCTTCTCCCACTTTCCCATTGTCACAATGTGCTCCAGTTTGTCCTTCTCCCACTTTCCCATTGTCACAATGTGCTCCAGTTTGTCCTTCTCCCACTTTCCCATTGTCACAATGTGCTCCAGTTTGTCCTTCTCCCACTTTTCCATTGTCACAATGTGCTCCAGTTTGTCCTTCTCCCACTTTCCCATTGTCACAATACGCTCCAGTTTGCACCTTTACAGTGTGAATTTGAGAACAATGTTTCAATAATGCAAGGAATATATGAACGTAATATCCTGGCCGTTTTGGCTATGCCACCCTTTGGCTGAAGATACCTCCAACACCCCGCCCCTCTCCTCCTATTACGCCCTGAAAATGTACACGTATAAGCCAAAGTAGCTTAAGTGGCTACTATTTAAAGTCCTAGGAAATAAAGGCGACTGGCATTATGTTACCCATATTACCCACTAAGTACCGATTTGTCTATAAAAGCTGGGTCTAGCCTGATATGGCCAATGCGCCTGAAAGCCTGAAAAAGGGTCATTTACTTTACAGGCAGACAAGATATTTGTTTACCTTCTCATATATTCATTCAGTAATAAGTTCTACATGCCATCTACAGAGAAAACGTCCAGCCTAGGTCCAAACGCCGACTACCCAGTGAGAGCGAGATCAGTGTGGAGAACTTCCAGCGAGAGCTCTATGAGGTGGAGCCCGATGAGGAATCGTGTCTTACCGACGAGGAGAAGCTGGCACAGTTTCAGCTGGGACAGTTGCACTTTGGTCTCAGATATGATGTCTCAACAAAGGTATGGTAATACGTGCTGGCTTACATACAAGCTTTCCTCCGTGTGGGCTCTGATGCCCCATTGTAAGATAAAAGTGAATACACACACACACAAAAGCGACTAATTAACGGGTTGTGGAAATCGGACGTGTTTTTAGAGTCGATGACTGCAGCCGGAGTAAGACTTTTAACCTCCTCCAGCGGGGCTTGTTAGTCATCATCGCCATTGACACGAGCTGTGACTCCCATGTATTCATGCAGCACAATATAACACTATCGTCTGGGAAGATGGAAACCTGCTAGTAACAACGAAATTGCCTACACGAAAAAAAAAAATCAAGATCACAGAAAGGTCGAGTTAAAAACTAATTCCTAATTCACATTTTTTAAATTCAATTAAACCTGTCTTTAATGTAAATTTATTATTTATGCGGAAGTCGTAGATTTGTCTGTAGAAACAATAATGAGTAAGTTGAATGAATGTTGAAGTAAGAATCGACATCATACCACTCTGGACACTTCTATAAGCGCTCAGTCCCCATCTGCAGCAGCAGTCGATGACATCAAATTTCAATGGTACTAGTAACTGTCTGATTGTACATCTGTCTCGCCTTTTCCTTGAGTGTTGAGCGTCGGCCAGATCCCCTGGTAACTCTCCGAAGCGCCATTCTCCTCATACCGTAATGATCTATGTGTACCTCCACACTGTTCACTGGCTTCCAAAGGGCCCTCACAACATCTAGCTTGTCATACATCATTTCACCCCCAAGTAGTTTAGAACCAGTCAGTCTAGCTGTCTGCTCGTTTCCCAACAAACCAGTGTGACCTGGAGAAATATCCAAAGAACACTAACTACCCTGGACCCGTGTAGTTAGGCTGGTCATTGTGCAAGAAACATGTCTTGTCTCCACCTTTCTCAGCATTCTATGTGAGTCAGTTACAACTACGACATGTGCGTGACTCTCAAACCAGTTGAAGGCAGCACTGACTGTCGACAACTCCATTCTCAAACTAAACGTTGTTATATTATATGCAAGGCTTTGTTGCACTTAGTGACATCTATTCGCTCTAGCTATGAACCCCCTTGCACTTTGTCTGCCTGTCAATACAGAGCCATCTGTATAGATAACATCACCGGGTGAGAAAACTAGTGAACATAAAATAGAACGACTTCTTCTTTGTGCACACCGGCTGTAAACTCTGGCGGAAAATTCTGGTTATTCGTCCATTTCGCGACGTTCCAGATTTTGGGTTCTCGTAACAAGCATGTCGTAAAGGCCAACTAATTAGGGATGTTTTCTTCGAAGTCTCAATGCATCAGCCCGAGTAGCGTCGAACCAATGTTCTGCATACAAATAGGTCATATTTCTACAACGGGTGAGCACGCAAAATTTGGGTTATGGAACAAGAGAGTAAAGTCCAGAAGTGGACGAACAATCGGAACTTTCGGATAGAGTTTACAGCCGGTGAACGCGATGAAGAAGAACCTTCCAGTCCATTGAAAACAATGGTATTGCAAGGTTTTCTCGCAGTAGGAGTAAAAGCTTGGGGATGAGAATCCAAGAGGAGGACATCCCATAAAATCTGTTTAACCCGTCTGTAAATACTTGAGCTTCCCTAGTGTTAGGAAGCATTATTCAATCATTCTCGGGGTGAAGATGTCTTGAGGTCACCCAGCAACTGTATAAAGGGGTTAATAGACCACTTTTAACTATGTCTAGACATTCTCTTTAGAAGTATTTAGTTAAATATTTCAATTTACTTTAAATATATTATTATGGGTTTGTGTGTGTGTGTGTGTGTGTGTGTGTGCGCGCGCGCGCCACTCAGGACATTATAAATAATGAAAATAACAGGTAAAGTAAGTAAAAGACCCTTTTCCACGCCCTTCAGGCGTATTGGGTATGTAGGGATAGACCTAAATTTTTTTGATCAAACGGCACTTGATGGGGGACGAGGTCAGATTAACACCGGCCGCCTTTACTTCACAGGATTGCACCAGGTACCCACTCAAGGCTGGGTCGACCTGGGAGCAAAGGTCATTGTTGAAAAAAAAGAAAAACTTTGGCCGTCGCCAGGAACCGAACATACGACCTTGCGATCAATATAAATAATAATAATATTTATAATAAGAACAGCGTATTGAATGACAAAAAGTATACTAGAAACTTGAAACAATAAATGCAGCTTGTAAATAAACACTTTTAATGACAATTTCTATATACTGTAATAGGTGACCATTTAATCCCCTTAAAAAATCATTATTGGTGTGGTAGTGGGGGGGGGGGGGGGGGGGGTGGGGGGGGGCTTCCAGGGACCTGAGCACCCACGTTCAGGCGTGCGTGCGTGCGTGCATGAGGGCCGTTTATTCGCTCCATGCTGCTACCAGAAAGGTTTGACACGCTAAATTTAACAGATCTCAGACTGGATGGCAGACAAAAATGACCTGACGGTTTGACGCTCCAAGGCTAAAAAAAGACTCAGTGCTGTCGGCAAAGCAACAGGGCATGCCCAAATACCCTATTAAACCTCCAAGGAAGTTATAATGAGGGCATCCGTAACGGCCACACCAGCCCAGTGTGACCTACAGTCCTGTGCGGGGGAGGATGCTGAAGATTCTATCGTATATCGTCACCATCATCAGTTTCCAATTATGGCGTTACGTGACGCGTGAACGAGTTGACGATCCTTTGCTTGATGGGTAGTAATGGTGTTATAATCCTATCAAAAATACAAATTGCATCAATGGTAGACAGCAAAGTTTATGATTTTTGTGTGAACTATTCGAGACGTGAAAATTCCAGCCATCATTTTGTTGCGTCATGTGCGTAAACACCGGTGCAAGCTAAACTTCACAGGTCGCTGACTGAATTACAACAGACAGCGAAGTCTCCAGAAATCTCGAGAAAGCTTTGCTAGAGACAATATTGCAGATATAAATAATCTATTTCAAGCGAACGAAAGAAAAAGAAAAAGAATTGCAGTGTCGATAAAGAAGGGCTTTAATGTCAACAGTCCATAATTTCATATGGGGACCTCTTGATCCCACAGTAGCTTATTTATTTAATACATGATGAGAAACAACTAATCGTCCGTTTTTTGACCAGGTCCTTGTTGTCAAGATGATAGAAGCTAGAGACCTGCCACCCCCTTATTGCTTGGACGAGACCAAACAGGATATGGCCCATTCGAATCCGTACTGTAAAATTTCCTTGTTGCCGGACCAGAAAGCGTCGCAGCAGACAACAGTGCAGCGCAAGACACAGGAACCGGTCTGGAACGAGTACTTTAGTTACGACATCGACTATCAGGAGTCTCAGGAGAGGACCTTGGAGATTCTCTTGAAGGACTTTGATAAGTTTTCTAGGCATCGGCTTATCGGTAAAGTCTTACTGCCTCTGAACACGGTAAACCTGATCAAAGGAGGCCACATGTGGAAGCCGTTGTCACCTGGAAATAAGGTAAGCAGTTTATGTGAACTCCTGCCTAGTTTCTTACTTACTTACCCCTTACCTACCTACAAATATTTGGCTGCACACCCAACTTCCACACTATCTATACGTCAGTTCACTGATTAATCAATCTAGCTACTTAAATACACAGAGGGCCGCTGTGGTGTAGCGGCTAGACGCTCGCCTGCGGATCGAAAGGTCTTGGGTTCCAGTCCTGACGGAGCCGGACTTTATTAAAAAATGATCTTGGCTCCAGCCCTGAGGTAGTACTAGATATAGTCCGGGAAGTAAAGGCGACCGGTTTAATGTTGACCACATCACCCATCCAGTGCCTTTTGTTCTATGCAATAAAGCCAATATAGATCTAGCTAGAACTTTATGTCTAGTATACCTAAGGCGTAAAAAAAAAGGTCCATTACTTACTCTCACACACAAACACATATTATATATATATTAAAATACCACACATCTACCCGCATACCAACTTTTATAAGTACACCCTCTTGCTTATCGACATACCCATCTACCTACTTACCCCCATACATCGACCAATTACCAATTAATTTACCTACATATCTACCAACCAACCAGCTTTAATGTCTACTTAATTGTTTACCTTTATTTTTGGTCTATAAAATATAAGTCTAGCCCTATATCCCCAATACGCCTAAAGGCATGCAAAAGAGTCCTGTTACTTTTACTTACTCCAGCCTGTTTCACTTTTAATATGGGATTAAAAACTGTTACTTGGTTTACACTTGGCATGAGGTATTCAGGTGGTGATCTGTTGTTATGAAGTTGTAAACATGACTAATGATTAACTAACGACTTGCTACTGACAAATCTTAATGTCAGTCTCTGAAAAGAATTGTACTGTCTAGAAACTTCTGTTTTCCTACTAAGGTTAGCATATCCTTTGAAATTTGCTATGCGTTTTTCTATTTGTTGAGAAGGCGGGCGTACTTTTGTGTGTTCAGATGCCCTTGAATGAAATTTGAATTGTTTTGTTTCTAAACAAAACAACCGTTGGTTAATTTTTTTAAAGCTGGATTAAATGTCAGATGTTTTAGGATGATTATTTTATGTTTAACCGCTCCTGTTTTTGTATTTAGTCTCTTGTTTGCGTATCGTGAAAAATAAAGCAACTAAATACAAAATTTTTGTGTCTATTTTAGAAACAGTGGTGTTCTCGAGAAACAATAGTAGCAGAAAAAGCAGAAACAAATTAAGTAGTAATGACAATTGAGGATATAAATAGTAAAATATAGAGCTCATTACGCAACGTCCGATGGACGATGTCTATTAGTTTTAATTTCTTTCTGGTAACATCTCTCTCTCTCTCTCTCTCTCTCTCTCTCTCTCTCTCTCTCTCTCTCTCTGTATGTATGTATATATATATATATATATATATATATATATATATATATATATATATATATATATATATATATATATATCAGCCAAATCTTTCTATCGACCAAGCTGTCTATCGACCAAGCTGTCTATCGACCAAGCTGTCTATCTATCTATCTATCTATCTATCTATCTATCTATCTATCTATCTATCTATCTATCTATCTATCTATCTATCTATCTATCTATCTATCTATCTATCTATCTATCTATCTATCTATCTATCTATCTATCTATCTATCTATCTATCTATCTATCTATCTATCTGTCTGTCTGTCTGTCTGTCTGTCTGTCTGTCTGTCTGTCTGTCTGTCTGTCTGTCTGTCTGTCTGTCTGTCTGTCTGTCTGTCTGTCTGTCTGTCTGTCTGTCTGTCTGTCTGTCTGTCTGTCTGTCTGTCTGTCTGTCTGTCTGTCTGTCTGTCTGTCTGTCTGTCTGTCTGTCTGTCTGTCTGTCTGTCTGTCTGTCTGTCTGTCTGTCTGTCTGTCTGTCTGTCTGTCTGTCTGTCTGTCTGTCTGTCTGTCTGTCTGTCTGTCTGTCTGTCTGTCTGTCTGTCTGTCTGTCTGTCTGTCTGTCTGTCGGTAGTCGGTATGTTTCAAACACATAATAAGTAGAAATGTACTCGCTAATATGGCAACGGAAACACCAGCAAGATTAAAAGAACGAAGGGAAGGCAAAGAGATAAATACCTGGATCGCTTTGTCAAATGGATAGGGGTGACGCAAAAAAACTGACTTGATCTGTGAGTCTAGTGTTCTTGTGAGATGCCAAAACATGACAGCCTGTGTACGGCATGTGGTGATTAAGAAGATGATAATGACGGTGACGATGATGATTATAATGATGACGACGATAGCCCAACACCCCCTCCCCCTCCCCGGGGTACTTATTTCCTCAGTTGTTGGAATTGTCTCCGATCCTATGTGAGTTTCTTGGCACGCTTTTCTACCCCTCTTCTTTAATTCGTGTTCTGCCTGCGAGCGTCAGGTTTTGAAAAGGCGTCTGTCTGATACGAACCTTAGTACACGCTACGTAGCCGACGGTAGGTACTCTTTTACTTTCACTAGGTCACTCCTCTTCTACCCGGGGTATAGAGTTTGCCAGAGAGATCGCGAGACTTCGCTATTAGCAGTTTTCTTGTTAGCTTTGTTCCATTCCAGTCCTCTGCCTCTGCTAGATCCAACTGCTGGTGGCATTCAATGCCTTAAATATTGAATAACCGCGAGTGACGTTCATCCCCACCAGGGCAGCAGAAAGAGCAATAAACACCCTGTGACACAAAGTGTCACAATTCGGATGAGGATCACTGGGGTACAAGACCCAGAAACCCCATTCAACCTTTAGCTTATATTAAGGCCTTCGACAACAGCAGGGCTGGGGTTTCAAAATAAAAATAAAAAATGTGTCCTATATTGGGGATTGGATTGGCTTTTTACCCCACCAGGACATCACACAAGCGATAAACACCCGATGACACAAAGTGCCACCATGTGGATGAGGATCACCGTGGAGAGGTCCCAGAAACCGCGTTCAGACATTTGGCCATAATGATGACCTGCCTATATTGCGGCCCCTGGCAAAAGCCAGAGTGGGGCTTCAAATAACAAAAAATAACGTCCTAAGAAGGACGTAAGAAATAAACCAATAAATCAACAGTCTATAATGGGGATTTTCAAATAATGCCTCAAATATTATATCCGTCCATCGCTTGCGTGGAGACATGTAATACTGCTTCTTCCGTTGTATCCAACTGACAAGGCTTTCTGTTGTAGACTTGTGGAAGTCTTGACACATACTGTATATGGTATTGAATGAATTAACATAGAAAAAGAAATGTTCTTGAACGAGAAAAGTGTTAATTGACGTCAGCGGACACTGACGACGTAATCTAGCTGGTGTTCATAAACTTGTGCGGGCTGCAATCATCCCGGTGTTATTACCTCCCCTTGCCGTGTGTTGTGTGACATGACGTAAGCTATGTCGTCACTGTTATCTGAGTAAAATTGCACGTTCTCTCTCTCTCTCTCTCTCTCTCTCTCTCTCTCTCTCTCTCTCTCTTGCTCGCTGGCTCTTTTTCTCTCTCTCTATTTCTGTCTCTCTCTCTTTATGTCTCGCACTTAGTCTTTCTCTCTATCCTTCACGCTCTCTCTCCCCTGCACTCTCACACTCCTACAAAAACCTTCTTACACTTATTCCCTCTATCCCTACGCTCTCACATAATACCCTCTTAGACACTCTTATTCTTTCACTCTCGCTCTTACTCTTTACGCTTTTTGATCGTTTTCTCTCTCTCTCTCTCTCTCTCTCTCTCTCTCTCTCTCTCTCTATCTATCTATCTATCTATCTCTCTCGTTCTCTGTGTGTAGATTTAGAATTAAAGAAGTTAGGAAAGCACATGCGATTCGAAGAGTTTGAGTGGCAAAGACGAATGGTGTTATATGGATAACTTTCTGTGGTAGACACACACACACACACAGATAGAGAGAGATAAAGAGAGAGAAAGAGAGAGAGAGAGAGGAGTTTGACTCAGACTGGTATTGACTCAAACTGATAAAAAGATAGGCGAATACAGAAATACACTTATAGTATGTACCGTGTATTCCGGCTAAACGCTTGCCAACCAGCCTAAAGGTCTTGAGTTTGATTTCACATTGAGGCAGATTTTATAAAATGACACTGGCTTACAGGTAAGCCCCGAAATACAATGAGTATCAGACAGGGCTGGATTTAAACATGATTGGACCCTAAGCTAAATAAAGCCACGAGGTGCCTACTATTTTAAACTATACCAGGTAATCGAAGAAAACTAAAATATATAAGTTAAAAAAATTGGAAGTTCCTTGAATATCAGGCAGATTCGCTCAGACTTCATAGAAAGCCCTCAATTAGTCGACTTGTACGACATGCTTGTTAGAAAAGCAGTGGGTCTATTCTTGTTTTCCTTCACTATGGGGCCTGCAACCCACACGGGGAACTTGCTAGACAGAAATGTGGAGTTTTCTTAGAGAGACTTCAGTTATTTTCTGAATTCTTGTTTGTAACATTTTTTAATTGTAATTGTACCTATTCACGTCTTGTGCTGATGAAGACTTCCTAACTGCAACGTTCACTTGTCGTTTATGATTGTGATATTGTGAATCTGACTAGTTCGGCTTTTCATTTGGTGTAATATATTTTCTAGAGAAACCATAGATCCAACATCTAAGAGAGAAGCCAAATGTTCAGGACTGGATTTCATCCATGATATCTTAGTGACTGCAGATGACAGAGTGGAATGGGGGAATAGGCCAAGATCGTCTCCATCTTACGGGCCATACCGGCGTGATGCTGACCAAATCACCCACCAAGGGCTGTTTAGTCTATAAAATATATGTCTAGCCCTATATACCCAGTGTGCCTAAAGGCGCGGAAAAGGGATCTTTTATATTATAAACAAAACATTCTGAACAGCTTGAAAACAAAAAGCATTAGAACAGCTGAACCGTCTCTGATCTTTTCATCCAAGAAAATCTATACCCGTGTCTCACCTAATTTTCAGCCAGTGCTGGGGCAATGTCTCAATTCATGTCCACGCAACACAAAACCCCCCGCACACGTC